TGCCTCATCTTGACTGAAATGTTTATGCATTAAACTCAAGGGAGCTGGCCAGGCTCCGTGACACACACCTGTAATTCAGTGGCTCAGGAAGCTGAGACAGGAGGATTGTGAGTTCAAAGTCAGCCTCAGCAAAAGGGAGGCGCTACACAACTCAGTGAGACCCTGTCTCTAAAATAAAAATACAAAATGGGGCTGGGGATGTGGCTCAGTGGTTGAGTGCCCCTGAGTTCAATCCCCAGTACTCAAACAAAGATCAAGGGGTCTTAGTCAATCACAACTCATGGAGACTAGAATGGGGCTTAGGATGTATGAAGAGAAGAATGAGAGGCAGGGTGAGGGAGGGGACTGCCTGCCCCATCCTGTGATAACTCATCTGTAGCCTTAGACTCTGGCCTTCTGGCCTAGGACATCCAGTGGGAGCAGGTGACGGGCAGCCTGTGGGTGTCTTCTGACCTTTGGCAGTATTTGTCAAGTTGATGTTTTTTTTTTTCTTTAATCAATTTTTTCTTCTTTGGCTTCTGAGTTTATTATTAAACAAACAGAAGCGTTAGAGAGGAAGGAATRGACATGCACTGTCACCCCTCTAAGAGCTGGCCCCGGGCATGTGGCACATGGTGCCCAGGGCTCTCAGAGCTTGTTTTACGGGTGGGAGACCAAGCCCAGCCACACTGACTCTGGCAGAGGTGCTGGCAGCAGGTGCCCAGGACAGATCTCTAGGTATCCAGGGAGAAAGACATCTGTCCAATGTAGATGTTCCCAACAGAGGACAGGGTCCTCAGTGTTCCCACAGAGGCGTCTCTAGGAAGGTGGGACCCAGGAGTCTGCTGCCCRGGCCCTGCTCAGGCGCTCGTCCCTCCCATGGGCCGCCTGTCGAGGGGCGAGGCCTGCAGACATCCAGCGGCTAAGGTGGCGGCCAGGGCGCCCCTTACAGGCCTCTCCTTTCAGATGATCGAGTCCAGTGACCTTTCAGAGGAGAAAATCCGGATGAAGGAGATCGTGGAGGGTGAGTGGCGGCTGGGCCGGTGGGACCSGGCCTCTCGGCTCTGCTCGCCTTTATTTTGCCCAGCGATTGTGGAATCAGGGAGAGTCACACTATTTCCAAGCACCTACCTGGTGGCTTCCAAGCTGGCCAGWGTGGCATCCTCATGACCGCTGACCGGCCGCTGTTTTGGGTTTCCTGAGGAGAGTCCAGTTGCCCAGGACCACAGTGTGGGACCCTCTTCCTCGGGGTGGGCTTCTTAGGGAAAGGGCCGCTCTCAGGGARGATTTGGACCCTTGCTTTTGGATCYCCGTGGGAGGACTGCYCACTGGCCCACACCGTTGGCCCTGGAGCTTTGATGGCGTCTTATCTCTCCCTAGGCCTGCAGGACAAGCTGAACAAGAGGGACAAAGAAGTGGCAGCCTTGACGTCCCAGACCGAGGTGCTCAGGGCCCAAGTAAGTGGTAAGTCTCCCCCCTGCAGGGCAGACGCRGGCCTCCCTGGGGCTGTGCGGGCCGCAGGCTCTGGAGCATGCAGTGGGTGGTGGCTGGCTGGTGTCCCCACACTCTGGGCTGAGAAGGTAGCAGTGGGGCCAATTCCCCCTCCCTGGACAGGCCCCTGGGCCACAGCAAGTAGGCAAGAAGTGGAATCCRGGACCCGCAGATGGCTTCTGTCCCCAGAGCCAGCCCTCTGTCCCGAGTCCTGCCCGAGTTCTCTCTCTCTGGTCTTGAGGCCTCGGGCTTCTCACAGTCACCTGGATTCAGTGTCACCCTCRCTAGAAATTTCAGGAGTAGTCCCAGTTGGGGGAAAGGACGCAGGCTGTGGCCAAGAGCCAGGCGCACGGGGCACCTGGGGAGAGGCGGGGGTCTGGATGGGTGATTTGCGTGACAAGCTGGCCCTGCTTCTCGTCCACCAGAACGCCAGTGGTGGTGGTGGCCCTGAGACGGCGCCCCTCCTGGGAAATGGTTCCCACCCCCTCTTCTCTCCAGTCCCCGTCACGCTCACGTGGCCTAATGGGTCCCGGCAAAGGTCAGTGGACCTCAGACTCCTGCAGGCCAGGGCCAAGGCAGCCTCTCCTTGTCCCAGCAGTGGCCATAGCCACATCCTCTTGGGAGGGTGGCCCGCTGCCCCCGCCCCAGGCCCGGGCTGCTGTGCTTTGGGGTTCGGTCTGCTTGGTGTCGCTCCTCCTGGGCCCCTTGCCACCTGCTTCTCTAGGGCCACAGAGACCCCTGAGCTTTTGAATCTCCTTGGTGGAGCGTGTCCCTGGGAAGGCCAGCTCCGTGCCCAGCCGGGGCTCTGGGGGCGTTCCCAGGCCCTCCCAACCCTCTGCCTCCTTTCCCTGCCGGCCGCCCCCAGCACTGGAGAGCAAGTGTAAGTCGGGGGAGAAGAAGATGGATGCAGTCCTGAAGGAGAAGCGGCGTCTGGAGGCSGAGCTGGAGGCCCTGTCCCGGAAGACCCACGACGCCTCGGGCCAGCTGGTCCTCATCAGCCAGGAGCTTCTGCGCAAGGAGCGGTGAGTCTGCCGCCTTCCTGCTGGTGACCGTCCTCTGGCCTGTCCCTCGCTCCACCCTGCGTTCACCAGTCTTCTCTAGAGGCAAGGAGGCTGGTCACCAGAGCTGCCGGCACCCACGAAGCCTCAGAACCCTTCTCAACGCAGATCTCCTTCTCTTAGCTTAGGAATGATGAGCTCTCCCACTTTTTGTTCTCAGGGATCCTTTTAAACTCTTAAAAATCACCAATTTGGCACCAGGCGTGTGGGGCACGCCTGTATTCCCAGCAGCTCGGGAAGCTGAGGCAGGAGGATCTCAAGTTCAAAGCCAGCCTCAGCAACTTAGCAAGACCGGGTCTCTAAATAAAATATAAAAAGGGCTGGAGATGTGGCTCAGCGCCCCTGGGTTGAATCCTCAGTACCAAAAAAAAAAAAAAAAAAAATCAAGTTTCCCCCAAGAAGCTTTTTTTTTTTTTAATATTTATTCTTAAGTTTTAGGTGGACACAATATCTTTATTTTACATTTATGTGGTGCTGAGGATCAAACCCAGTGCCTCGTGGATGCTAGGCGAGCACTCTACCACTGAGCCACRACCCCAGCCCCAAGAAGCTTTTGTTTATTTACCTATTTACTATATTAGAAATCAAAACTGAGAAATTTAATTTTTTCTTTTCTTTTTTTTTTTTGTTTTGTTTTGTTTGAACCAGGGATTAAACCAAGTGGCACTTAACCACTGAGCCATATCCCCAGCCCTTTTTAGTTCTTATTTTGAGGCAGGGTCTTGTTAAGTTGCTGAGGCTGGCCTTGAACTTGCAATCCTCCTACTTCAGCCTCCCTCCTGAGCCACTGGAATGTGCACCACCACGCAGGCTAATGATTATTATTATTATTATTATTGGTACCAGGGATTGAGCTCAGGGACACTCAACCATAGAACCACATCCCCAGCCCTATTTGTTATTCGATTTAGAGACAGGGTCTGACTGAGTTGCTTAATGCCGCCCTTTTGCTGAGGCTGGCTTTGAACTCAGGATCCTCCTGCCTCAGCCTTCCAAGCCACTGGGATTACAGGCATGTGCCACCTCTCAGGCTAAAGATATTTCTTAATCCATTGCATGATAAACCAATGGCATGTAATATGAAAATGCTTCTGGTAAAAAAATAAATATTTCCAAAACACACACACACACACACAAACACACAAACACAAAATGTTCACCGAGCAGGTTGGGGTCTTCTCATGATTTTGCAAGTGTCTTGGAGGAAGACAGCCAGATTCAGATATCTTCTACATTTGTTCTTTGCAGTTGGTCGTTTCTGCTGAAGTAGATTAATGAAAATCTGCCCTGACATATGTTTTTGGAGTATTTATAATATTTTTTCCAGACGATCACCAGCTTGCCATGTTGCTCTGGGAAAACCCATGGTATGCTCAGTGACAATGAAGATAATTCTGTTTTTATTATGAAAATAGTTTTGGCCTTGGAGATCCCCTTGGGGTTCCTCAGACTATACTTTGAGAATCGCTGGGCTTGATTATTTTTTAATGAATAAGTAGATTAGCACCTAAGAAACCAGAAGATGTCCTATAAAATCCGATTGCCCCAGATTCCCTTTGAAATTGGGAGGCCTGCGGACACCCGGCTGACAGCTCTGTTCCCACCCCACGGCCTTTGTTACTTTCACGGATGGGATTCTGCAGCTGTCAGCCTCTGCTTTCTGGGAGGAGCCACAGGCATCCTCTGTAGATGCTGACTCCTCCCGGCGGCGCCTGAGCACAGAAACGGGTGGAGCGACAGCACCCCCTGCAGGCGGAAGCCCTCTCGGGACCGCGGTGCGCTGCTCCCCTCCCCTCTGTCTTCCTGGAGATGTCAGGCCGGGTGCCCAGCCCTGGCACCTCTCCGAGGAGTCTTCCTGGACTGTCCTGGCCACCGGGACGCTCCCTGCCCCTGAGTCCCATTAGAGCTCCCTGGAGTTTTTAACCCGTTGTATCATTGCTCYGTTGGGGGGTTTTGTTTGGGGGATGTTTTTATAATGCCAGGGATGGAGCCCAGGGACTCTCAAAAGCTGACCGGCCTCAGCTCTGTCAGGGTTAGGGTTTTCCTCCCTGGCCTCACCCCRCACCGAGTACAGCCTTCTGGAAAGCCTCCTTCCTTTGGGTCATTTCATGAAGGCCAGGCAGTCCCCCAGGCTCCAGTCAGACTCCAACGCTTTTCTGAAGCCCCTTTTTCTTTCGGTACCAGAGATTGAACCCAGGGGTGCTTAACCATGGAGCCACACCCCAGCCCTTTTAATTTTATTTTGAGGCAAGKTCTCACTGAGTTGCTCAGGGCCTCACTAGGTTGCTAGGGCTGGCTTTGAACTTGCAATCCTCCTGCCTCAGCCTCCCGAGCTGCTCGAATCACAGGTGTGCGCCCAGCGCCCAGCCAAGCCTTTCTCAATCGCTAGAGGCCACAGAGGGCTCCTCCACACCCCTGTGGTGCCTCAGATGTGGCAGAGATCAGGCTGCTTTGGTCACTGTGATACACCATCCAGCGAGCAGCAGATTGGACTGGGAGAGTTTTTCCTTCCTCGTATAACAAGTAATCTGGAGGAGGCTGTGACTGGCAATTGGTTTAGGAGCTCAAGATGTCAGTGCTGCCCACACTTGTAATCCAGCAACTCAGGAGATTGAGGCAGGAGGGTCCAAGTTTAAGGCCAGCTTCAGCAATTTAGGGAGACCCTGTCTCAAAAAAAAAAAAAAAAAAAAACTTAAGGGGCTGAGGATGGCTGGGTACAGTGGCGCATGCTGAGACCGGAGAATCACGAGTTCAAAGCCAGCCTCAGCAATGATGAAGCAACTCAGTAAGACACTGTCTCTAAATAAAATACAAAATAGGGCTGGGAGGATGTGGCTCTGTGGTTGAATGCCCCTGAGTTTAATCCCTGGCACCCAAAAGAGGGGGGACTGAGGATGCAGCTCAATGGTAGAGCACCCCTGGGTTCAGTCCCTCCCCAAAAAAGAACTCAGTGCCAACACATTTACAGTTCACCTCATCTACCTCTCATAGTGCAGTGTGGCAGCTGAAGCTCCAGCCATCACATTCAGAGGAAAGGAGGAGGGAAGGGAAAGGGGCAGTGCCTGCTGCTTCTGCTTTGTTCTTAACTACACGTGGCTAACCAGTAATGGAGTTCCCCTCTCCCTGGTACATGCAGGTGAGGGAGCAGGCTCAGGAGGGCATCGGCATCCTGACCTATGGCTGCAAGGGAAAGGGCTGGGGAGTTGGCACTGCCTGTGGCAGGCATTGCTGATCCATCACTGCACTCGTCTGCAGAACCCCTGTGTGGCCTGGGAACCACCCCYCCAAGTATGCCAAGCCGCTCCTGCTAGTTGACGAAGCGTTGACATGGAGTATTAAGCATATTTGACATCAGGCATTTAAAACACCTTGCCACCTGGGATATTCTCAGAAATGAATGTTTAACTTTCTAATTTTTTTTAACTTAAATATGTTCCCTTTCTCCCCCTTCCCCTCCCTCTCCCTCTCTCCTTCCCCCTCCCCCTCCCTCTCCCCTCCCCCTCCCCTCCCCCTCTCTCTCTCTCTCACTTGCTTTTTCAAAATAACTTAGGGCGGGGGCTGGGGCTCAGTGGCAAAACCCTTGCCTCACAAGCGTGGGGCACTGGGTTCCATCCTCAGCACCACATAAATAAGTGAAATACAGGTTATGTGTCCATCCACCACAAAACGATTTCAAAAAACATTGCAGGAATGGCCAAGTCCTCTTGACCTTGCCATGCCCAGGTCCTGGCCCCCATGCAGCTGGTGCCCCCAAGGGTGGTGGGTCTCCAGCGCTCAGCGCATGGCAGAGGGGGAGCTGACCACTGCTCTGTGCTCTCACCCCGCCCAGGAGCCTGAACGAGCTGCGGGTGCTGCTGCTGGAGGCCAGCCGCCACTCCCCGGGGCCCGAGAGGGACCTGAGCCGTGAGGTGCACAAGGCTGAGTGGCGGATCAAGGAGCAGAAACTCAAGGAGGACATCCGGGGCCTTCGTGAGAAGCTAACCGGGCTGGTACGTGGGCACAGTGGGCAGCAGGGTGGGGTAGGGCTGCCCTGCTGCCGGGCCATGGAGACTGGTGACCTCCAGTGAGGTTTGAAAAAGTCACAGTGAGGTTTGGAAAGCCCCTAGGGTCACAGGCAGGGTCGGCAGCAGGGCCCGTGGAGGGACTGGGCAGCCCCTGTAGGAGACCTTGCACCTGGCTGGGTGCCGTCTGACCTGTGAAGAGGCCCAGGGCTGGCAGAAATGGTGAGCTCCCCATGCAGGGAGGTAATCAGCCTGGAACCAGAGCTCCTTGCTGAGGGTCCTGCCCTGAGGATCCACGCACACACGCCCATCTCAGAAGGAGAGGCGGCCTCAGTCTCCTTCAGCCGTGGGCTTCTGGGCCCTGAGATTCCTTCTCGTTGTCTAGTCAGCTTTTCATCTCTGTGACCAGAACACCCGACAGGGTCAGCCTCGAGGAGGAAGGTTGACCTGGGGCTCCTGGTTTCGGAGGTCTTCGTCCACCGCTGGCCTGCTCCAGGGCTATGGGCCCAGGGAGGCAGAGCATCATGGCGGGAGGACGCGGAGGGGCAGCGCTGCCCTGCTCCCAGCAGCCAGGGAGCAGAGTGGGGAAGGGACCCCTCCAGGGCAGCCCCCAGTGACCCACCTCCTCCAGCCACAGTCCCCACCCAGCGAGTCCCTGAAAACCTGGAGGGACTGGCTAGGTCCCAGCTGTCACAACACGGCTATGTWAACACAGACGCTTTAGCCAAACTGCATGCTCACATCCAAACTGTCACATCCACGTGCACCAAGGGGAACCTGGCCTCAACCGTTGAGTCCCCATGTGGGGGATGGGACAGCCCAGGGTAGAACCATGCCCACCCCCCATGGTCAACACCTGACGAGCCTGTGGTCAGTCCCCTGGTGGGGTCTGGAGGACAAGCTTCTGACAGGGCAGCTGATCTGAAGCCCCTCATGCCCTCCAGCCACTGGGGCTCTGCCACACTGTGGGGGAGATGGAAGGAAAGGGGACCCATCCCTGGGGCTTCTCAGGCTTGAAGGGGGTAGGGTCAGACATAGCCGGCCACGGCCCTCTGGCGCCACCTGATGGCGTCAGCATGGGCAGCCCTGGGCCGGGCCACCCTATCCAACTTCAAGTCCCACCATGTCTGACCAGCAGCCTTCAGTGGTCCTCCTGGCTCTGAGTCCCCGAATGATATAGGAGACCAGCCCACCCCCTCACCCTCGGGCCCACCACCTTGGGTAGATGTGGCCTGGGGAATTCCCTCCCCCCCCCCTTTGGGGAATAGGTAGGAGAGGACAAGTGGTGC